TTTGTCTCAATTTTGTGTCCGTATCAAAAGGAAATATTTCAATTAAATGCAATTTAAAGTTTTTAAAGAAAAAAGATGATTTGGTTTACCTGTTTTGTAAAGGGGACCCCAAAATCAATGATTTTCTTCATACTGTAGGAGTCTGCTGTTAAATTTGTGGAAGAAATCAATTTTACATTCAAAATTTCACAGTCAGATCTGCACAAAATAACCACGACAATGTCAATTTACAGTATAGTACACTGAATAAAGTCGCTGTTCAGTATCACAAATTGATGAAAAAGGGGAGAGGACAGGTAGGTCCTTCCATCTAAGGTGTTGTTTAAGGTGTATTCATTAGGTTTTGTGTCAACGTCATGTCAGCTGTAGTGAATGCTCGTCTTTCCTCCTCCAGAGTGAGTGCCATCCAGACACCTGCACCCAGATGACAGCCACAGAACAGTGGATCTTTTTATGTGCTGCCCACAAAACACCCAAAGAGGTGAGCCAAGATGGCGTGATTTATTTGTCTCTGCCTTTGTGTGAGGTAAGATGAATAAACATGTGTTGTGCTGCTGTTGCATCCACAGTGCCCTGCCATTGATTACACCAGGCACACGCTGGACGGAGCTGCCTGTCTTCTCAATAGCAACAAATACTTCCCCAGCAGGTCAGTCCTCTTCCTTACAGCTGCAATAATTGTGTAATTTATTTTTTGGCCGCTTGGGGGCAAAGTCCTGAGGGAAATATCTGTCTCTTTAGCTGCTAAATGCTCAGCTGTGTTCACTAGCTAGTAGTTTGTATTATGCTTTGGCATTATTGTTGTTATACATTCATGCCAATAAAGCTAATTTGAATTGAATAGTCTCTAACAGCTAACTGGACAGATTAACAATGAGTCATGTTTGTGGAGTACCGACTCTCTTAGGAGATTTCAATCCCCCAGATCACTCTGATGGACTTTATGTGATCTGGTGCATTCACACGTGGTTGGTCCCATTTCCCGAGTTGGGAAGGCGCTCTGCCTGCCTTTTGTGCATTTAGGATCTTTTTAAATTGTTATGTGGAAACAACATGGAAGCTACAAAGATGTGTTGTATTTTAGAGCGTTGATGAAACACAACATTTTGATGATGTTTGTTAGCACTAAAATATTGCTTTACGGTAGGAAACAAATTCAAGATCAACATGGCCGACGTTCTCTCAGCTCAGAGGAGCAATTGTGATTGTGTCATTAGGAGAAACACTGTTCGGTCATCGTATGAATCAGTATAGATTCATTGGCAGCCAAAAGAAAGGCTTTCTTAAAGATGATGGAAATATGGCATTTGTTTCATGTATTAATTTAAGGAAGGTTTCAGTCTCATCGCTCCACAGAAACTTAATGTCACCTACTTCATGTACGTTATGATGTATTCGCTGAATCAGTTTCCACTGGACTTTATTCTTTGTAGTGATACGCCAACTTTTGCACCTGCATTAAGCATAAAAACATTTTTTGAATGTGCGGCATCTCCACTCAGGTTTGCGCATAAAAAAAACAGCTGGATGTAAACCATAGACCATAGTATATAAGAAGTGGACGTAGTCATCATGACGTCACCTGTTGGTTTTTGGACTCCCGTTTTGAACCCTTGAGTTTGGCGCAGGTTAAATTTACACAGTGCTGTGGGTATGAGTCACTCTAGCCTGATTGACATGGTAACTACTTGTCAATCATAGATAATCCCGCCCTGAAACATCCCCTGCTATATGTTCTGTTTTCCTCTAAATGGGACCATAATTTACTAAATGAACATCATGTTGTGTTGAAGAAGACTTGAAACGAGTGTCTGAGACCATAAACTCATCAGGACAGTGTTTACTGAGGTAATTACTCACAATGATTTTAGTACGCGAAGCTTCTTCTAGATTATTTAATGGGTTCATCAGTGCATCGTTTAAGAAGTACTTTTGCCCGTAACGGGATCAGCTGTGTATGTTGATAGATGAGATATTTATTCGTCCTTTCGGAAATTCATAGTGTGTCATACAGCAAACATCAGACGAACATCAATAGACCAACAACCAGACAACTGCTTTCCCAACACAAACATCACCCGAGTGCTATACAAGTTATCCTAAGGTGCAGCTCCCCGACACCAAGTTAACTCATGACTGACGTTACAGCCCAAGAAGCTTCCTGCTTGATGTAAACCCCACTTATTGTCTGATTTGTCTTTCTAGGGTGAGCATCAAGGAGTCATCAGTGGCCAAACTGGGCTCTGTCTGTCGTCGCATCTATAGGATATTCTCTCATGCCTACTTCCACCACCGCCAGATATTTGATAAGTATGAGGTAAGTTTCATTAGAAATATTTTACAAATCAATTACACCAACTTATTTTCAAGAGTATTCCTTTGCCATCACTGACTGGAATGTTGTTGTTAGGTATTTTCTTAAATTCAAACTTTGTATCAAAGACATGAGGACATAATGAGTGTAATCTTCATGTTGATAAATATTAGCCCCATGCACAGTCATTTCTAAACTAGATCCCAATGCAACTGTTACATGACTCCGTTTTTAACCTTCCTCAGAGCACCATGAACTGATTTAAACTGTTAAAACGACAAGACAGGCACAGTCAGGATGCTACAATTGCAGTATTACAGTGTTCTTTTTCTTTTTTTTATGTGATCAGAATGAAACGTTCCTGTGTCACCGGTTCACTCGCTTCGTAATGAAGTACAACCTGATGTCTAAGGACAACCTGATCGTGCCCATTCTGGAGGAGGAAGTGCAGAACACCTCATCAGCTGGGGAGAGCGAGGCCTAAGATACAGCTGCTGCCATAAAGGAGACACATGTAAAAACACATTACAGAGATACATTCACACATCCTGCATAGACAGGACACACACACACACACACACACACACACCCACACCAGTGTATTACACTGTCTATGTCCTTCCACCCTTGTGTCTATCTCAAAGGAAGTAAGGGTAAAGAGTGTTCAGCCATGCCTCTGTCCAATCTTATTCACAATGTGTCTCTCTGGAGTTAAGCAGTTGTTTCTTGATACAGCTCTGCGCTCACACTACTCCTTTAGGGGAATCCTCTTTTCCTTTTAATCTTCTTTAAGCAGCTGGATTTGCAAAAAAACCCCTATGTAATCATGGTGACCTGTATTGTTGACAAAGGCACACACTGACAGCCCCCCCGTATCTGTATATAACCCCCACTCCCCCTCTCTCTTAATTCACTATCATATTTTCTGATGGTGCTTCACTTTTTCTCGTGTCTGCTTCTGTTCTCTATTTGCTTGTGTTGCCTACCAGCCTTGTTTGTTTTTGGGGGGTGTCCCATTTAAAAATGGATCACTACATTAGCCCGCTGACTTAATAATGCTATTAAAACACAATGTAGGTGTGTGGCTTGTGTGGTAGTGAACAAAGAAAAACTTAAAATCTCTAGCTTTGTACGTGTACTAGAAGTCAGATATTCTTAGTGTTTGGCCTCTGAAACATCAGAGTATTTAGGAAGGCTTGTTGGTTACCTGATCCTGCTTTGTGACATGCCCCCATTTTAATATGGTGTAAAATGTGCCTGATAGTCCCCTTTTCTTTGACATAATAGTAACTAAAATCGTGACATTATGGGAAGAAACTGTGCTGCAGTAAGCCAGTTTTTAACTGCTTTAAGCATTTGATGAGTAAATACAAGGACTGAGGGAATATCAGCTACATTTAAGTATCTTGAGCACAACCTCACTACTTTTACCCTCTCTCTCTCATTAAGTTATTTTGTGGGAGGAGTCTTGTCAACCCAACCCACTTGTTTTTGTTTTGTTGTTTTTTTAAATGAACTAAAAATTTTGTTACTGTTGACATTTTCATTATGTCTGTTAATAATAAAAGACGTATTATTCTGGTGGGTGTGTGAAGATTTTATTCAGTGATGCAGTGTTAACGTCAGGATTAATTAAAGAGGTAATATAATGCTTGCCACTCATATTGTGTTATCTTTCTGTGTGCTTGTAATAGGTTTGCAAAGGGATCTGCCATCTCCCACAGAAAATACTGCTCCTGAACTGCCTGAAAACGGCTCCATTGTAGTCCAGCCTTTACTTCAGTAACACGTGTCATAATGCTCGCCTAGCCGCTAGTGTTATACGTCCTCAAACGCCTAAATATCCTCTCTAAAATAACGTTCCATACCCTCCAGGCAGTCAATAGACAAAGTTGTTACCATCCTCTAGAGACAGTTGAATCGTTTCGTATGAAAGATAAGTGTTACAGACTAAACTTACCACTGTGAAACGTCTCGCTCCAGTCTAGGTTGCGAAGCTGGTTCGGATTCTGCCTGTGTTTTCGGGTTTGTGTACAGTTGAACCAAAGCCAGTTACCCACTGAAGCGGGTTTGTTTTGATCACACAACCTTGCTTGATCACATGGCCTACTCTGCTACGGATTGGCTTGTAGTCCTTACCTAGGTACTGCACATGTGCAACTCCCAACAAAGATCTAATAGAATTGAGATTCTTCACTCTTTAGCTAAAATGGAGCGTTCAAGCAATGTTCAGTTAGTGTTGGGCAATAAAACTATTGCAATTTAATTTTCCTCAATAGTAATATAACAAATGTTCACTATATTGTCATGTTTTATTTAATTTGAATCACAAATGAATCAGCACTTAATTTTTCTATCTTTAGCTTTTCCTCAACAAAATACATATCCTATCTGGTTTCTTTAACTTTTACTCAGGAGCAAAACTCAGCCTTAAATCATTATTTCTTTCAACTTTAGACGTTTACCGTGATAATTATTGCTATAGAATGGTATGAAATATTTTTATCGTGATAACATTTTTGGCCATATCGCTCAGCACTACGAGCAGTTTGAAAATTAAACAGTGTAAACCTGTTCTGCTACATCCCCAAATAAGATGATGAAATGAAAATGAGCATAATGACGTCTGTAAGGTTGGAATGATAATGGACACTAGAGGACAGTGTCAATGGGACATGACTCACAAACCATGGGAGATGTGTTTAATACAATAATAAAAACACAATTGATAAAAGGAAACAATGTCTCCAAAAAGGGAAAGTCTGGCAAATTAATACTGACATTTAATAAACCCTGATGGGGGATGTTTGTGGTGCTAAATACATTCATTTAAAACATGTATGACTCAAACATGGGCAGCATGTACATCACTGGAATACCTAAACTATACTTTCGGTGCATTTTATCCCTTTCAAATCAGTAACATGCATTACAATTAGTCGAAACCCCAAATTCGCAACACTTAACATCTAATCAATATACAACAGCACTGTGTCCTCTTTAAGAAGCAAGTGAATCCCTTTCATAGCTTTGAAACAGTACTCCACCGATTTAGCTTTTGCACTCCTTTTACATTGTCTGACTCACAACACTTTAAAAACTATAAACTGATGCAGCAGAACCTGGAGATGAAGTCATTTTTGTTCCACATTCTTCTTCCTTGTCAAAACCTGCCACCTACGTTACCCACAATGCAACTCAGCCGCTGGCAGTTCAGAGATATGGGTAGCCATCAACAGAGATGAGGAGCGGGATACTTTCTAACTTTCTACCTGACAGTCAGTCTTTACTGGAACCACTAAAGGCTTTATGCAACTTTTCCCACATACACAGCAGCACTTCCAGTGACCTGTAAACACACTCTGGTGTGTATAATCGGTGGAGTACCACTTTTAAAAAACATACAGTTGTCATCGTTTCAATATAATAATGCATTTCTGTTTTAAGATCTTACTTATCCGTTACAGAGAAGGTAACAGGTGTATTGCCAGTACCATATACGCTGTAAAGCAGTAAGCAGCAATTGTGACTGAACATGTACACTGATATCCTCAAATATTAAATACTGGTAATACTTTCAAAACGTATGCATGATTAGCAGTAACCATTTCCAGAATGATAAAGAAATGGCACCAGTCAGACTAAACTTTAGGTGGGTGTGTGGGGTCCTTTGCGCAGATGTTACAAGCTGTGATCTCCAGTTTACAACAGAGGAAAGTTAATCATAGCACCTTACTGTGAGTCCACAGAACTCTAAAATCCCCCAGACCCTCCACAGAGAAGTACTGTTACCTGAACAAATGTACTATTTTAGGCAGCTAGCACCTTCACTGAGGCCAGTAGGGTTAACATATCGAATGTCACCATGCACCAATGCGGAGCCTCCCTGATAAATATTCACATCCTGCCCCAGACTACACGAGAGGAGAGGAGAGGAGCTGCGAGGACAAAGCGCTGCCTGAACTGTGTCGCTTTCACATGTGAGAACGTTAGGGGGAAGTTGATGTGAAGGTGTTTAAACATCTTGGAGGGACAGGGAAAAAGGTGAGAACCAAATCAAAATTGTGAGACGTGTGAGCTGGGCCCAAAAGAAAGTAGAGCCCCTTCCACCTAATTTTACCACCAGTGTCGTTTCCATAATGTGCAGACATCTGTGCAAGTGTTTGTGCTTTATAGTATCGTAACAAATTGTCAATGAGCACCTGAACCGATCAGAGATTGGAGAAAAGATAAACCTAAACATTGATATAAATGTGGAAAGTGTCTCCTCATGGATTTGTTTGTCTCCACAACAAATCTGTATAAATGTTTGGACATAGATCCACTTCTAAATAATCCCTCACGCTCATTATGGCTTCATTAAAAACATTTTTAAAAGTGCCGAGTTCTTCTACATTAAAGTCTGTTAAAAGCAAAGGGTCACAAATGTGATGGCGAATGAATAGTCTGATCATCTCTTCTGTAATCCAACAACGTTTAAATCCTCCACGTGAGTCTGGGATGGAAGCTGCATACGTCTGTAACTTCCTGCTTACATGCAGGTGACTTCAGCTTTCCCTTCTTCCTGTTCGAAGCCACCTTCCTCCAGATGGGACATGGCGCTGGGATACCCCCCTCCGAACACCGGGAAGCCTGCGATGCCTCCTGCAGCAGTTGGAGACAGCTCCTCCGGAGGGACGGGGCTGCTGATCGCACGACTTACAGAGCGACTGGACACGGCGCTGTGCAGAGACAAAGCCTGGAGACAGGGAGGAACAGACACAGGCATTAGATCCAGTTCAGATCATGAAAACGAAGGTTTATTAGTATCAAACAGATTGTAGGAATCTGACCTTGAGACAAACCGTAAAGACTACAACTGTTAACAATGATCTCAATAATCTATTTTAAAGAGGACAATCTAAAAGGAGAAGCTTCTCTTTATTCACGCTCAGTCACTAGTGCAACTTTAACTTTGAACACCAGGGAGCAGTGTTGCCCAATAACTAACTTTAGCAACTGCAGCCTGAGATTCTGAAGATCTTCAGTCTTCCTTCATGGATCAGCGATACAGAATAAATAACTGCCAAATACTACAATGCTTTGTCTTTTGGGGACGACTTCCAGCTAAAGGTTGATTCAAAATAGAGTAATAATTAGTAGGAATGTGAATATGAGGACTGGGAAGGACCATTTATTATAACACTGTCTAGTGTGCTAAAAAGGCAGACGTTTCACAGTTTTCATCATCAGAAAATCACCAAAGTTAATGATGCAGTTTTCAGCGCAAAGAAGCGAGTCTGTCCGACGTGCCTGTCACTATAGCGGAGTTAGGGACCGTCTTAAAAGTGCAATACAAACCATTTCAATCATCAATAACTTGTGACCAGCCTTGAACATTTCACATCTGTGAGTTTGTAAATAAAAGTTATGCATATTAAGTAATTTATTAATTTCAACAGCTTTTTCATTTATGAATATATTGACATCAAGTCACCTCTCATCTGTGCAGGACATCCTCTCACAACTTTAACAGCTGTAACTGTTCAAATGTTTTTATTAAAAGAGTGTATGTTGAAGTATATGGGATTTATAGTTTTTGTTTGCTTTTTTACAGTGGTATCGAGAATCGAAAAGTTTTACTGGTGTTGGTATTGACGACTACATTTTTGGTGTCGTGACATCCCTACACTTGACAGACATTCATACATCATAACATAAATGAGTCCAATATTCTCTCTGTTTTTAGCTCTGTTATTGGTCTCCACCATCTCTGCTAAAAGCTCCAATATGTCCACCGGCTAGTCTCTAACTGTGTCTGTCTGCTGAGCAGGTAGTGTTCAATGGTTTTTACAGCCCTGAAAACAACACTATGAACATGCTGAGAGTGAAATACAGTAAAGTTGCATCCAGACAGATAAACGTCAAATTCTTGGGAGCTTCATCAACACCAGAGAATTTATAAAAGTAGTGATTATAGCCACTTTTAAGTTTAATCTTTAATAGTAAAGTTGAACTACATAATATCCTGCCGCAGTACATATCTTTGTCACAACTGTAATTGGTCAGGCTCTACTTTATCACTCCTCTCCTCCTCTCACCTGGTTACTCAGTTGTCCAGCCGCCTGCCCTCTGACCGGCCTCTGGAGAAACACAACCTGCTTTGTGGCCAGATTCCCATCACTGCACGCACACAAACAAACAAACACAGAAAGACAGTTAGCCTATAGAAAAGGCATTTAAAAAATGGTCTCTGTACAGAGCAGACAAACATTATTATGGTTACAGAGTGTTATATCTACCTGTCGTGTCGGATGATGGGAGTGGGCAGCACACATGTGAGCAGCCAACCAAACTCAGCCAGAGTGTGAAGGAGGGGCCCGTAGTCTGTTTTTACATTGGAGCCCTGGGTGTAAACACAAAATATCAAGATATAAGAGCCAAAAGACGCCAAAATGTTATAAGCAGTCAGAAATCTAGATGAAGCAAATCATGGGTTCAAATAACTTAAACCTGGCTCAACGTTTCCTATGATGCCATATGACAGCATGACGCGGTTTTGGCCAGTCACTGTCGACTGTTGCAGTGAAGTGAGTGGTAAAATACTGTCAGAGTACTATAAACCACCCTTGGTTCTGATAAGCCTTAATGAGTTGGATGCAGCTACATGTGACTGTAGATGTTTTGAATGTTTTATCTTATAATTCTATCATTTGCGCTAAAATTGTAATAATTCTTATTTCTCAAACTGTTATTTGTGCTGCAGCCTGTCTTGGCCAGAACACTTGTGAAAACAAGTCTTTTAGGCCTGGTTTAATAAAGGTTTAAAAAAAACTTTAAGAAAAACTTCACTTCCTCAATCGTATTTCATGTCTCACTTGGTACCTTAAACCAGCGGTGGTCAAACCTTTTGACATCAAGGACCCCCTAAAATGAATCAAATTAGACCACAGACCCCATTTGATAAGATTTTTCACTTTTATTAAATATAAAGTATATGAAACCCATGACCAACAAAGTCATACATGCTGTCATTGTGTTACTTATGGATGGAATTAAAGAAAAAAATGCCCCCTAAAGGACCCCAATTTGAGAACCACTAGCTTAAAACAACGCACCCCCCTGCACTGGTCTGAATCCCCATTTAGCCATACTACATCTAGCCACACAGATAGATTGTTTCGCTAACCCCAAGACATTAGAGGTGAATAAAAGTCGGTTGTGGTGTGACAAATCTCGAAACTGCTGCATGGATAGCCATGTGTAGGAGGAAGTAGTATCTGGAGACATATCTTAAAGCCTTTTTACTCTACTTATGTATAGTTATTTACTGTTTGAACAGAAATTTGTAATTGTGTTTCAACCTGTGTTTATTTTATTTTATGTAAACCACTGCAACACTATAATTTCCCTTCAGGGATGAATAAAATAAGTAAGTAAGTACCATAAGTAAGTAAATAAGTATCTATCTATCTTGTTGGTGATTTGGGTGAAATGAGCCTTTAAGTTCAGTATAGAAACCTAAAACTATGGAAACTACTTTCCCTTTGTTAAATCAATAACAATCTAATCATGACAGGGTCGTCTCTGCACATAAAACCAAAATATGATGTCTGCAAAGACACTATGGGTAAGTGAAATCGTGTTTTTAGTAATTTGGGGCGAACTGACCATTTAAAATAAGACTTGGTTGCCTCTCACCCATTCACAAATCACACTGCTCGCCTGATTCTTGCACTTCATTTTCACATCACGCTGCTTTCATCAGAATGAGGTCATGCAAGGCACACTCTCTCACACTCACACACTGACCTCGATGACAGTCCACTGCTCTACGACGATGGTGTCGTTGGCAGGAGGACAGGTGCTTCTCTCCTCATACACAAACAGTCCCTCCAGCGATCTGGGCACTGGCTCGCCTGAAACACACAAAAAGTTCAAATGTGGAAAAGAAAATTTATGTTGTCATGTTTATTTTTATTATTATATAGTTCAAAAGGGTATAGTTCACTGTCAGATAGAAAATAAATAATTTACAACTACTCTTTTTAGTGCCGAAAGCCTGCAACGTGTCAGTGAGAGAACGTCTTTGGGTTGATAATGACCCAGTTTTTAGAAATAGGTAAGCTCCCATGTGTTCGTGTGAGAAGAGGAGCTCTCGCTGCTGCTGCTGCTGCCTGTGAATGAATGTCAGAATGCGAGTGTGTATTATTTCCATTTTATTAAAGGCCTCCGGAGGTCTGCAGATGATGTGGACGTCTGCTACTTCGCAGAGGAACAGGAAGTGAGGTCGCCAAGGTCGGAAAGACAGCGCCAAATATAGATGCGGTGGGACAGAGGAGGGAGGGACCGCAGCCAAAACAGGAAGTGGCTGATTTTGTGCATGTGTGTGAACCACAATAATAATAATGCAAAAGGGTAGAGGGGGAAGGAGAAACACTAACACCACTGAGGCTGCTTCTTCTTCATTCAATTTTATTTACAGGCTTGTAGCAATGCACTGTTTTTCACTGTAATATGAGTTTTCATGACAGTCATTCGGTTATTAAAGATAAAAAAAAGCCTATGGCCTTTTTAACATATGCTTTTAATTTAAGTATGAGACAGTAAATGTAGTCCTATGTATTGTATTTTCTTTTCTTGTTTGATTGGTTTTATTTAGGCAAATCAATTAAATGTCAGTTTAAATATATTTTTTAAATTGTTTAGGTTTTTATGCCTACATGTCAAAATGTTTTTTTCGGGCTAATATCTGGCATCTAGAGATAATAGGCCGATGTCTGCACTCACGAACAGGGTAGGGAGGGTTACTTTAAAAATGTAATCCAATAACATCACTTATTACCTGTTAAAAATGTATTTAGTAACCTAATCTGAGTATCACAAAATTAATTTCCTTTAACTTTGGATAACCTCAATGCCAAATATGCAGAAAAGAAATATCAATAAGATAGCTTTTAGGTTGGTTAACGTTAGCTTACTGGATTTAGGAGTCACTCAGGTCGCCATGGTAGTGACTTGTCAATCACAAGGTAGCCCCGCCCTAAATCATCCCCTGCGTTATCGTCCATTTTCCTCTAAATGGGACCATAATTTACTAAATGAACATCATGCTGTGTTGAAGAAGACTTGAAACTAGCGACTGAGACCATAAACTCATTAGGAAAGTGTTTACTGAGGTACTAAATCAGCTGAGAAGTAGCCTCATCTCACTTCTTTTTGCAACCAGTGGAGTCGACCCCTGCTGGCTGTTGGAAAGAATGCAGGTTTAAGAAACTTCCTTATCAGCTTCACTTTTAGGATCGGAGGTTCCCGTTTGGGCAGAAATTATACAGCTGGTAAGCAAAGGCAGCGTTGCACGGTTGAGTTTGGTTACCATTTTTTTGTTTCCAAACTACGTAACGCTGTTCCATGTATTCCATTACTCCCCAAGCCTTCACTCACAAGGCCGATAAACAGAAAGTGTCTACGGACACGTCTGCAGGCAGCCTCGTCAGTGAATTGCTGGCGAAAGATGTCAGCGCTCCCTCTTGTGAGTTTTGAGAAGGTGTTGAAAGAGTTAGTTCGGATCCCTAAATCTCCTCAGTCACCATCGTCTTTGAACTCACAGCAGATCTAATCTAACAGCATTACTGGCTAATGTTAATCATGTTATACTGTAGAGAATAATGTAGAGAAAGAACTCTCCCTTACCCAGCATAACCTTTGTGATGTCTTTTTCTATTTCATTCATTAATACTTCCATCAAAAACAACATGTTACTGGCTGAGTTAACATGTATATTAGATTGTGCTCTGCGTGAAATAATGGAATTACATGACTTTGCTTTGATAGCGGCATTATATATCAGCCGCCCTGCTCTCTAAGTATCAGCATCAGCCATTGAAAAACCCGTATCGGTCGACCACAAGTAATAAGAGATCTGATGTGATGCTACACTGCTGGCTGTCCTATAACTGGACAGGTTGGTAACACTCAATCCTACATCAAACCGACCTTTAGGTGTGTCCCAGTAGACGAACGAGTCCACCAATGACCAGCCTTTGCGGTAGTAGGCGGCAGTCAGCTCCAGCCAATCAGCTTCCAAGGAGCTGACCACCTGGCCCTTCCTGGACACACGCATGGAGAGCGCCCCCTGGTGGTACTGACAGGCCAGTGAGTCCAGAGGAGCGCAGCCCGGAGCCCAGGAGTGGAAGAAGACCAGCAACCTCAAGTCTGGAAGAAAGGGAGGGAGAGGATGAGGAGGAAGACTTGAACACTACATTACTTAGGTTTGTTATTACAACACTGCCTGTTAATATTCGGGTACGTGAACAGTTTAGTTTTAGAGTACTCGCATCTGAAAATGTGAAAGAAGGGTTTCAATCTCAGGATAGAGAATGGGGTATTACTGGTTAAAACCTGAATCACCTTGAGTGGTTAAGGTGACAGCAGGTACGCCGAGGCACAGAAATCAGCAAAATCAACAAACAGAGAGAGAGAGAGATAAAAGAAACGAGTGTAAGAAGAAGCGAGTAACTCACCAGGACTGTAGGTGTTTTCCTCCAGCTCTCTGTCTCCAGGCGGTGTACCAGGAGGGGTATGTGGAGGGGATCGACAGCCCCTCTTCGGACTGTTTACCCTGCCATTGGTGATCCCGCTCGTCTGCTGGAGGACCGAGCCGACAAATCGAACACCCCCACGAGCACTGCTGTTCACCTGCCAGAAAGACAAACCCAGAGTCAGCTACACACTGTAAACATCTACTCACCATTAGAGCAAATCAGTGCTGAGGACAGTATTACCTTCCACCACACACGTAGTGGTGCTTGGAAACTAAGAGAAACCAGAGAAAGACTGAGTGTGTAAAAAGTGTGAAATGCATCACTTGCAGTGATGGCTCTTAAATGCCTAAAGAGGTACAAGTGTCTAATATATCAGTAATTTTAGGGTTTTTATATATCTGAATAAATATCCAGTACTTTACTTTTTTAAAATGATTTTAGAGTCAAATAAAAGGTTTGTCTCCAACATTTAACCTATTTTATGGATTTTTATATATCTGAAAAGATAGGATCCCTTATTTAAGTTTCTTCAGGATTTCAGTCTTCCAAAGGTGAAAATATTCAGTTTTTCACTTACTTAAAGCTTCTTTTAAGCTTCTTAATGTCCTGAAAAGATGAACATATCCAGTATTTGACATACTGTATTTTAGTGGCCTGAAAAAGTGAAAATATCCATTACTTCATTTATGCGTTTGAGGCCATAAGGAATATTAAGGTTAAATTATCTTGTCACCCCTCCATTATATCTTGGGACCTTTTGGTAGGGTGCCGCCCCCAGGTTGGGAACCGCTGGGCTTTTAAAATACATCATCATTCATTGATTTAATTGTGTGGCTACTGAGTTGCAGTAAACATCACTGACCCTGTCAATGAGCGCTCTGACCGTGTCACCCGTCAGTGAGTCTCCAGGTAATGGCCACTCCTCCACCTTCAACATAGGCACACTGTGACACATGGACGCCATCTGCTTACTGACAACACACAGACAGACAAAAACATCTATGAGACAAGTTCAACAGTAACAGTGTTTGACGTTAAAGCTTCTCTCCTCCGGTCAGTGGGGAGTTTCTGGGTTTGTGGCACCAAACCTAATGAACCCGTCCAGCTGGAGGTGTTCATAGTTCACTTGTAATTGTCACAGAGCTGCAGACACCAACACATAAATCATTTAAAGGCTCAGCAGGAGATGGCTACTATCTGCTGTTTAAGCAATTACACAAAGGGTAAACAACAATTTAGGTAATTGAAATGAAGTGATGACAATCCCTGTTAATACTGCCTTTTCAAAGTGAGTGAGATTTGTAAAAATAACCATGACATTTTTGAAATAAATATACCATCATTAACATCAATTCACCTCCACTGCTACATCTTACAAAATAAAAATTCTCATCATAGTTACAGTATCTCAACCTATCGAACCTCAAGATTTCAGAGATACTTCATCATCATTGGCTGCTGTGGGACCCCTGTTGTTGGGTGGATTTCTAGCCAATAGAAATCATGGAGCAAGTCAAAAACCAAAACATAGCCCCCCCCTTACTCCAGGCACGCCACTCTGACCTCCTACTAGGGCTCAGTATTAAATATGCAGCTGACTTCATCTATCATTTATCTACTTACTAGACAGTGTTGAGGTGAATGTTTGGGCCCAGTGGGAAGGCATGTGGGGCAGAGGGAGGGAAGTCACACAGAGCTTGTATACCATGATCTTTATTGACCCCTCAAAAGCATTTGATACTGTTGATAATAACAGCCTGATGATCTGGGCACATCTTACAGGGAGAAGTCAGACTGGTGCTGAATAAAAGGGGTTCCCCAGGGGTCTTTTCTTGGTCCATTACTATTTGCATTACATGTAAAAAAAAACAAAACATTATTCTTCCTAAACAGTATGTCAATGTCCATTTTTATGCAGATGATACAATATTATATGCCTGTAACTCCACTCCGACCCAGACTCTTCTTCAGCCTGCCTTATAATGCTTTACAATAATCACTTCTTCATAGGGGTGTGGGCAAGATTAAATTGTGACGATATTTCTCGTCAGGTAAAAAATTGTCTCGCAAGACAAATTATTTTAGGGATTGTACAGCTCTAAAGTGGGGGATGTCAATATTTCAATTATTTTAGGGATTGTACAGCTCTAAAGGGGGAAAAGTATTCAATATTTCAATTATTTTAGGGACTGTACAGCTCTAAAACGGTAAAATTATTTAATATTTTACTTGTTTTAGGGATTGTACAGCTCTAAATGAGGGAAGTATTCAATATTTCACTTATTTTAGGGATTTTACAGCTCTAAAGGGGAAAAGTATTCAAAAGTTTTATTTTGTGAGGTTTGTGGTTTATGGTTTAAAAGAGGGTTAGGATTCATGTACCTGGGTCTGGGACGGGCCAGGATGGCACGGTACAGCAGGCTGAAGGGCAGTGAGCGGGTTCGGCCCACAGACAGTATGATGGGGTGCAATGCGGTCAGGACATAGCCTTGCGTGTAGTAGGGCTGCAGGGCTTGAGGCAGCTCGGAAAGTGAAGCCACATACTGCACTGTCGGACGGCTACCTGCATGGACGGAGACATGATTGGGAGGAAACAGAAAAAGGACAATGTATTCAAGCTGGTTTATAAAAGGTTACTGTCACAAGCGCTTCAGACTATGCCCCCCATTCAATCTAATCATAGAAAAGCTTTAGCTTCTCAGTTCTGAGACCTTTTGTAGCAGAAGCTTAATGCTCTGTCATGTGATCAGCTATACTGAAAATAAACGATTACAGGGAAATTGATTTTCACGTTAAGACTACACTTCACAACAAGTACCCCACATATTAACAGATTATACGGCTTATACTTATATCTTACTTGTACTTATACCTGAACTGTATGTTTTGCCAACCGGAACTGCTGCTCACGTTCATACTGTATCTTAGCGTATTTATATCTATAAACATGCACAGTACTACTACCTTTTGCACTTCTACTCAGTTGCTAAACTGCATTTCATGATCTCAGTATGTGTAATGAATTTAATCTAATCTCTGAGTCTTTCGTTATTTCAACTGTCACCCTGGGATTGCAGTATGGTGGCATTATGCATTCATGGAAAACCAGAAGGAACCTGCAAATGTAGGCCTTTTTCTTAAATCAGAGGTTTTCAAAGCATTCAGGGATTCTCTAAAAAACTTTATGACTATCGGATCAGTTGAAAGAAGTATGCGCTCACGAATCCATCTCTCATTTCTGGTCAAATGTTATAAATTTTCTCACCAGTAAGAGGTAAAAAAAAAAAAAGAGTACAGTCAGTGTTGAGGAGCTGTTTGTGTGCTGGTGGAGTCTTGTGTTGTTTTTCTTGTAAAACCCTGGCTGGAAATCCCTGTGACCATCACCATACTTCCTGTGTCCGCAAAGAGTGGCTGTTCACAGAGTGGGCTTGGCCCCCCCCACACACTTCACGTTTTAACACAAAATTGTGCAGTTTGGATGCAGCAAGCTTGAGAAGAAATATTGGGTGCAAGACAGGGACAGAGAAAAAGTGTGAGCACGTGTGAGTGTGTGTGAGAGAGTTTTTGTGTGTGTGTGAAAGAGAGGGAGCATTCCTCACTACAACCCCCCACATTCTCACGAACAGCCCAGAGATCGGGGTGACCAGTCCACAGCTGAGATCACTGCAGCCTCTGAATGGGCTGTCTGGCTGGCTCCATTACGAGACTAAAGACCACCAGAAAACCTCAATGAAACCAGTAAAGCAGGGGCCGGGCACAGCCACAGTTTACTGGCATTCCTGTGGCTGTAAACCCCATAAGGCTCATATGTTTGCAGCTGGTGGACGAAGTTGATGCTTCACTGTGGACTTTTTCGGATACCTTCCTTTACTTTTGAGGACAAAACAGAAGCATTCATGTCTGGATGTCTGGTCACACCGAGAATACAGGCAACCATGCCGCAGTTAATGGCTCCCAGAAGGACCATGATGTCATGCATACACACCTCTTACCAAGGCTTTTGTTGCTCCTCACACCCCCTCCCATCCTGCTGCCACTCGCCCTGTCAACCCGCACACTGAGGCCTCTGTTCAGTGCTGTGTGGGAGAAAAAACGAGGAGGAGGAGACGAAGAAGAGAGGAAAAGCAAAGAGGGTAAAAAAAAAAAAGGGGGGGAATAGAAGTATCGAGGTGGGAACTGGCAGGATGAGGAGGGGGTTTAGGGAACAACTGAGGGCACGGAGAGGAGTTGACAGAGCTGAGAAAATGTGAAGGAGGGAGGATGAAGCCAAACGGGTTACAAGATGAGTTTTATGAGTGCCACATGTGAATGGGAGAGCTGGAGAAGGTGTGAAAAGGAAAAAGCTGCCTGGCAACAAGAAGCAAAGGGAAATGAGTAACAAGCGGCTCTGTGAAGCTGTGCTTTGAGCTAAACGCTAGCGTCAACATACTCACAATGACAATGCTAGCATGCTGATGTTTTTTTGTTTTGTTTTTTTAAATTATGATCTCCGTGATGCGGTAAATGCGGACTGAATCACAGAGTTTTATAATAAAAACAGAATCAGCTATAAAACGCGGAATCTGCCAAAGGTGGATCCAATTTAGAAAAATCAGGGATTTCCGTAGCATTAAAAGAGTCTTTTTCACAGCACTTGAGCCAACCGAACAGAAAAACTATACTGCTATGATTTGGAGTTATTTGCGTGTCATTTACGAACACCCTGCTCTCTCTGTGCTAATATCTCCTCTCACTGTCTGGAGCTGGTGTGCTGGCTCTGGGAATGTCTCCTCCTCTTTGCATGTTAGCTTCACAGCAGCAACTATAGCGACAGTTTGCTAACCTCCAACTTAGCTAATGTTAGCTACACTACTGGCTGTGTCACCGTTCTCTGGATCTTGTACTCCCCCTTTAAGTGTTGGCAAAATAGCAATAATGCCTTCATCACTGGCAATACACATTTTATTAACATACCGCTCCAAATCCATCGTAAAACTAGTTTCATCTATAGAAATAATATGTTGACATGGCTGGCAGTAGGCTTAACTCTGCATGAACATTCTGTTTACATTCATAATTAGTTTTATTTAGAGATAAACAATAATGTATTGGACAAATTAAATTTTTTTCAGCTTTTAACAACCTTTTCTCTGAAAACAACACTATGAGAGCAAAACAGTAAAGTTGCAGCTGGACAGATTAAATATGAGCTAAAACTATGAAGCTTTGTAAAGCCAAGGGGAGCTGCAGATTCAACTGGTAACTCTCTGTAGGTTTATCACAACCAGAGACACCTTTCTTTCTTTCTTCTGTTGATTTTACACCAGTATCATGAACATATCAAAGGAGCTGACCATAAGCGGAGGTAAAGTGGGAGAATGGTGGCGGCCAACCCAGGGCCCACACTGGTAGGGGGCCCACTACGTGGACTATGAAGTTTAGCTCAGCTGATTATAATGGACACGAACTAACAACGGAATATGACGATACGCTGTAGTGGGAGAATTCAGCAGCTCTTATCAAATGAAACATGGTTTCAATGATAAACCACCACAAGAACGACAATTACCAACAAACACACTATGTTCTAAGGAGACATGTTTTAATACACATAAATCATAAAGTAACATTTGTATTTCAAACAAATAGCAAACTCATTAGCACATTTTAACAAAACTCCCTTCACACTCATACAGCATGGGAATTCTGAGGGAGGGGCGTAGGCTGCGTGTGCGCAGCGGTTTATTTACGGCGTCAACTTCCACTCGACGCCTCTCAGAAGCATTTCAGCAGCGCAGCGTGTAGCCTGCCCCACGTTAATGACTTGTTTATAATTGTCCTTTTTGTGCTTCAACTACATTCTTCAAAGCTCTTGTTTCTCGTCTTAACGGGTGCATCCAGGAACTACTGCAGGGAGCATTTCAGAATAAGAGCGTTTTACCTGCCAGACTTTGCAGACACGTTTTTGTTGATTTGGTGATTAGTGCTTGCTTTTTGTGCTTCTACTATGATTAAACAGGCTACGTAGTAAAAATATTTGTTTTTTGTTTGATTTAACTGTGTTTATTGTTTATTTATGATCGGAAGTCTGTAACCGTATTTTATTTTGAAAATTGACCGTTTCTCTGCCGTTTCTGTGTCTGACTTCCTGCGCTGTGCTGCTTGTCGCTGGGACGCTTCCTGGTCCAGTCTATGGACGCACAATTTTTGCCACAAATTTTATGGCAATCCATCTAAAAGTTATAAAGATATTTCAGTCTGGACCAACGTGGTGGACTAACCAACCAACCCACAGATGTTTAGAGATTAGATTAGAGACGGTATTTAACCCACTAATGTGGTCATCTCAGATCATTAGCTCAGCACTATTATGCCAATCAAGACTCCTCTGGGGTCAGGCACAGACTGGAATCCAAGATAATTGATTACTGAGTGCGAGTTGCCAGGTTTATACTGCCTCGCGCCACCCTTCAAATCTCCTCTAAAATTAATATAATACTGACTTTAATCTGAACTAATCCAACGTGGAGGCATTAGATTCCCAGATTAAGGAGAGATTACAAAAAATTGCACTCATCCTTGGAAATAATGAAGAGTACTGGCAGGGACATATCTTTTTACAATCAGGACAGTCAACCTAATAACGGGTTCGAAGGTGGCAGTTTGTCCCACATTTTCATCATTTCATTCATCCATCAGTTCATCCAACCAGTGATGAAATACACGTCACTTCAGGTTAAGCCATCTCTCCACCCGTAAATCCCTTTGTATCCTCCCATTTATTCATCTAGTCCTGACCTGCCATCTCATTTCTCCTCATAGTCCACTTCAAGTCTTTGCGTGATACTGCTACATGTGTAGGGAAGTGCAAGAGTGCAAGCCAAGGATATTTTTCTGTCAGGATGGCTTCTAGCCTCAGGCTGGCTTCATATAGTAAGGTGTTTATCACAAGAGGAAACACAAGATTTTGTTTTATCTGTCTTAATGGGAGGGTGCTTTTTTTCCCTTCAGAGAAATTTCATGTTATTTAACGTTATTTATCCCAGGAGCAGGAGTTGCTGCAAAAAGTGGGAAAGTGCAAATATAAAAAGTGCAAGGTATCCAAAATCCACAAAATGTGGTAGAGCTATATGACGTACAAACTGACACTGGCACTGTGAGCCGGCTTATTTTTAAAAAGGGCTAACAACAGTGGCTGTGAGTGAGGCTGCACAGCAGGGCTTTAAGCTATACAGTATGCTAAGGACAGCATGCTAACATGCTTGCAATGACAATGCTAAGATACTGATGCTAAGCAGGTATAATATAAACCATTTTCACCATCTTAACTAAGCATATTAACTTTATAGCATATGCTAATTAGCTCTTATTGATTTGAGGCTGATGGGAATGTCATTTGTTTTACAAGTAAAAGAAAAAGTACATAACATGTAACACATGTGACATGATGATGGCGCTGGATAAAAGGTCAAGGGACCACCAGACTTACGCCGGGAATCCACTGAATCCGTCTACGGCACGTTACAGCTGCGCCACGGTTTTGATGCGTCCTCTGCCCGCCGTCAAAGTCCACAGCAAGCATCT